GCAAGACAGCTGCATTAACCCTTTCAAGGCCACCGTTGATAGACAAGGCGTCTTGTGCTGTCACTCACGCGGCAGTGCAGACAAGCGGTATCAGCATGTCTGCGCATGCATGTCTGGCTATCTGCCTGCGTTCCCACGATACGCGACGTCAACATTACAGCAGCTGAGTGAGATTTGACGCCACGCAGCTTGGTACGAAACGTATCGTATGGCCTTTGAAGGGTTTAGATAAGCACCATGTTCGCTACCTCGCTGTTTGCTTATACAATTAACAGAAGTTTATTAACATTTTTGTTATTTATGCTACAATATCCAAATATGCCAATATAGAGACCGAAATGTACACCTATGTTACAAAAAAAAGTAAAAAAAAATCACCACAATATCAGGTATTTACATCATCTGACTTGCACTGATTTTTTACTCAGCGCCGATTCCTTTCTACGGGATCATTTAGCCTCAGTCTGCTTAACCGAGGAAGGGTGATATTGATGAGTCCCGGTAGGGCAAAACAGACGCCTGTATAGCACTAGACCTAACAGCTCAAAACATGCTATATCCTTATGTCGCAAAATTAAAAAAATAAACATACCTTACCGTCGCATCCGAACAAATCCATTTTCGCAAATAGTACGCTTTACTATCATACCAAAAGTCGTTCGGATAGCCAAAGAACTCTTCGTACTCTCGCATTACGACGTCAAAAGTCATTTTACATTTGTAGTTGCGACTAGTGACAAGAAAATTGAATTGGGAATAATTTGGCTATAATTAGGATTTTAACTGCAATAACATCACATAAAATTCTCCTATGAACGTAGCATATTTCCCATGGTTAATGAACCCTTTCCGAACCGTGTATTTATGTCGTCTGTATCTCCAACCCACAGCTGCTCGGGAGTGCTATGGATGCATTATTGTGTTACTTCAATTATATTATTGTTGCTATTTTTTTAGTACAACAAAATAATATATTTGCACATAACATGACATAGAAAAGCAACAGAAACAATACATGTGAAATGACACAACAATACATTCAACGCGTTCTCACGCTAGGGGTTAAAGGTGCAGAAAAAGTGGATTTACGATTCTGAATGGGTTAACAGTACAAATCATGTATGACTTCGCAGTTCTTTGTTTGATCGCCTTGTAGCATAAATATTGGCGCTTTCAGACATAGCTCAAGAGGACTTTTGCTCTTCTTCACTCTGTCACTACCACACTTTGCATGATCCTTGTACGGCATTTAAAATAAAATCAGTCTGCGTCAAGCACCACTAAGCGCTTAGCAACCTCCTCTTTTGAGTTTATCTTCTACTCTTAATAGATTACGAATAGCGTTGTCTAATACGGTGATGAAAAACCACGGAATGCGAAAAATATTTTAGGATGCACAGAAAATGGTAAAAAGTCTATGCTGTACTTAACCCGTTGGGGACGGGAGGAAATTGCTAAGCGCAGTATGACAAAAGCGCCATGAGATAACATTCACTCGACTATACAACATAATTCTCTTCTCGATCTTACACGTATTTTAATTTTTTTTAAAGCAAACATAATTTCGGAATCGTCGAGATTTAAGCTATAGAATGTGTACTATAAATCAACTGAAAGCCAAGCGCAGACACTAACCGAGCTGAGAAATTACACCAGACGTGCGAAGTAACTGTTGTTCGTTGCTACATAGTACAGTAGCTAATTTCTATTTATAAAAGCTATCAAATGAATACCAAAAGTCTCATACCAAAGCTATTTAGCAAAAAATCTAAAGACATGGAGCATATGCCGTTCCCGAAGGATTAACGGGAGGGTTTTCTATGGTTGCCAAGCATACAGCAGGAAGATCATCAATCTCACGGAGCGTTTAGAAACGTCTTGGCTCAGCTTTCTACGAGATTGCAGGCAAAATTGTCGCCATCAGTACTCCCGTTATCTAAAGACAAATCCTCATCTAACCACTGCGCCACACGTGTTCTCGCTTGTACGAGGATGACTTTCAATATCATGGATCCAGGAGCAGCGGTGTGGCAGACAGAGTCCACTGAATCAGTCGGGCAAACACGCTCGCATTTAACCTACTGCACTCACTCGTTCAGCAGTAACCTGCGCACACTTACCAAACCCTTGACCTTCTGTGGAGGAGCACCGTTGGCAGGCAGGCGGCGTCGCTCCGTCGCGCCGCGCCGTCGCTGGCGCGGCAGTCAGGCAGGCGGCATTTGCGTGTCCGTGTAGGCATGTCTGGCTGTCTGGCTGCCTTCTCACGAGACGCAACGCCACCATTACGGTAAACGAGTGAGATCTGACGTCGCACGGCTTGGCAAGAAAAGTACCGTATGGTTTATAAAGGACATCAACACCCACTCTGCTATGGAAGGCGTTTCAAAAGTGTTCAAAAGTTGTTCGACTGTTAAAGTAAAGAGAAAAGAAACGAACTCGTCACGGCTTCTTTTAGTGAAAAAACACTAGTTGCTTCTCTTCGAATTCTGCGTAAATCGAAAAGTTGTATCTCCAGATAGAAGCGGTGCTTCCAATTCTGTGCCAAAGATATTCGTCTGTACTTCGAGGGTGTACCCAACGTTCCAGCCGCGACATTCGCCTCCATCAAAGGTTTTTCGGGCTCTAGCTGTAATTAGTTCTCAGTGATATAAGACAACAAAGATACAAAGCCGAAGGCCAATGAAGCCCTCACAGTGATATTACCACAGGATTTAAAGACTGATGTATGAACTTGTTGAGGAATGTGGAAAATCGAAAAATCCGTCGTAGTCAAAGTAAAAGGGCATCATCACCTACTCGTTTAACATGTGCATATTTGGACAACCTTATTTTAGTTGGAACATTTTGCTCAGAGGTGTCTTTGATTTATGGGGATTGGTGGATAGGACGCGTACGCTATAGAGTGCATTCTGACTTTGAGTAGACTTTGAAATGTTCTTGTCATCATTAAAGATAACGAATGGAGCTTTAGACGCTGATCAATAGATGGATAACGCCATGAATTCGATCAGATTCATGACAGCGCACACGTGATTGAACGCCACAATTGGTTCCTTACAATAATCCAGGGTGGGAAACCAATGTATTATATCAGTGCTGCTATCCTCCCAGGCAAGTCTGCTACGAAAGCACCAATCCCAAATGGATGGAAGACCTTTTGAGACATAGTCGTAGGATCGAATCGAATCATCGACTACATGTGTGTCTCAGGGTACCGCTAACCACTGTGCCACATTGGCCCATTTATCACGATGCGATATATAGTCATTTGTAGCATGTCGAAGCAGATCAAGATGAAAAGAGAGATCAAAAACGCTAGACAAGCTCTAGACTTTCCATACTCTGCGAGAAATGACGAAACCACCGACAGCTAATCTAATAAAATGATGTCGAAACTGTCATCAGTAATGTTGTGTGACGCAAGCAACTTTGAACCTCGGGCAAAATTTGAACGCGCATCTCCGCCTTTACGGTGGCTAGTGGCTGCGCTACCTGGGATGCTGGGCTGGGCTATCACTCTTAGATATTGGAAGATAAATTTTCATATGCCACTGAGCGAGACAGCGGGTGTTGTCGGTTGGAAACAAAAAAAGGAGCTGCAATAGGAGAGATAGGCAGTGGCAGAGATCGCGATCATTATGCGCAAAAAGCAGATTCTACTCATGCGCTAGCTGGTTCATACTGCCACGAAAAGCCACAAGCCATTCTGAAGGGTGGTGAGAAATTTTCAAATAATCAGCGACTTGTCTGCTACATGCTCACTCCTCCTGATCCACATGGTCGAGGCGCCAGCTCTCTTCTTCAAAGAATAATCTTAGTCTACAGGACATTATACTCGGTCATTATCCAGTAGAAATCGCAAAAAAAAAAACACTCAAGTAGGAAATAAATCGATAGAAAAGAGAAAAAGTTCAATGATCTAGAGATGATGAAAGTGAAGAGACGCGAGTCGATGGTGAGAACGGATAAGTGGATCTTCAAAATGAGGGATTTTAAGACAAAGGGATTGTCAAGTCATCGGTAATAATTGCCAAATTAAGGAAATGAGAGAAACAGAAAAGGCGAATAGAAAAGACAAACAGAAAATAAGGGAAAGAGAAAAGAAAAGAAGAGGGAGCGCTCGTCAACGAAAACACGAGCGAGGCTCATATAGAAGACGCTCAAGCGAAATGGCGTGAAGCGACTCTGCTTGAATTCTAAAACACTCGATAACAAGTAGATCTATCGATCGACGACACTCTATGACCAGTCATTCTGTCGATCGAAGACAATCAATGACGAGTCGACTCGATCTACACTCGCCGCGCTCGGCATATGGTAGAATCGTGATGTACCTGTGAATAAAGATGCTAGGTCCTGTGGGTGGACGTAAATGTGTAAATGTTTTCCCTCAGGTCAGCCAAACATCTTTCTAGCTGAAAGAGAAGGAATAGAAAAATATAGAAAAAAAACACAATAACCTTGCTTAATTAACTTTCTATTTTTGAACTGGATTGATCCTTGTCGAACTGCCATCTTGCAGTGTGGATCATCATGGCCGCTCAGAGTCAGTTCTTCTCGTTTGGTGCCCCGCTTAAATGATTTATCCTCACTCTGCGAAGCGCTTCTACCCCAATCGGTTGTCTACAGGTGGAGCACTCGTTGATAACGCTTTTTTCTTCTGTCAATCAAGTTGTATTGCTGGTCAAACGGGTTACTCAAGGCACCAACGTTTCACGGTGTAGTGGTAGCTGGCGTTCCCGGTTTGGATAAAACGCAGGTTCGACTCCCTCCTGAGGTCATACTTTTGCTCACCACTCGATTCTCTTAGGTATATATGAAACATCACTTCACTGCGTAAAATGCAGTGAAAACGGTAGAAATAACGAGTACTACTTATCACAATGGCTGCCAGCTGAACTGGGTTTATAGAGCGAAATCGAACACCCGATCAAATCTGTCAAAGCTTGGTAGCAGAAGCTAACATAGAGATGTTGAAGAATGAGTGATGGAGCCAATGTGCCTCAGTGGTGTAGTGGTGGCATGCTTCTCCGGTATGGATGAAATGCGGGTTCGATTTCCGCCTGAGGTAGTATTTTTGCTCACTACTCAATTCTCTTGTTTATCAATAGTGAGTATTTTCAGTCATAATACGGCAAAACAGTGACTTTGACTACAAAAACTGAGAGAGAATATCCTAGGCTTTTCTATCAATCCACATGCAAACAAATATTTTGAGAAAAATTTATTCCTTTTTTGAAATTATTTTTAAAAAGTTGACTCAGTAGGCCTCTCCTTCTGCTACGTTGGCAACCAGGATGCGCCTGTTCTCGTTACCTGCAAACGAAAATACTAATATTCATTGATATAGTAATAATATGACATTAATAATGGACAAAAAGCAATAAACATAGAAAAAGACTTCAAAACAAAGCGCGGAGTACAAACAGCAAATCTATTCTCGCACACGTCCGTCCATGTATTCAATTATCGACGTTTAAAACCACTGCCTTGCCTTGTTGCCAGCTTCAAGGACAATATTGTTGTTGCAAAAATAGAACGAAAAAACATACGCGCTATTCGGCAATGAAATATTTTTCTCAAGATTTTCAAAAGACAAGGCACCTAAAACGAGAAGCACGTGAAAACTCAAAAGTAAGGAATAAGTGGCTCTAGAATATTTCCTGAAAAAAATGTGCGCATTGCACCTATTTTCCTGAGGGTGAATGGTGGTGCAAGAAAAAAAGCGATTAAATGTGGTACACTGGAGAAAAGGAAAATATGAAGAATTGGAGCCGAAAATAATCACACAGGCAACATGTCGAAACCGTCGACATTTCTGCTAGCTTTCAATCAGCCGATTCGAAAAGTTATAGTAAAAGTGCCCCTAAATCACTTACGCACATCTTATTAGTATCGAGGAATCCCATAGAGCACAACATTGAAGAAGTATGAATGTTTATGCCCAATGATATTGAGTGATGTGCAAAGCTTTACCTTCAGTAGGAACTGGAACACGCATCTCACCCTTTCCGTGAGAGAGCCTGCTTAACCAACTGCGCAGCCGACGCCTGTTTTGCCACCACTCTTTCTGTGATACAATTGGGCTCAATGTCGATATTGACTATCAGGTCTAACCGTTGACGGTCGGTTGGTGACATATTGAAGGTTGTGATGAAGCAGTGGTGGTAGGACAGACGTCACTAAAGCAATTTGTTAATCACGCTCCCACGGAAAGGGTAAAATGCGGGTTAGAAATTTGTCTGACGTCAAAGTTTTGCACATCATTCAACATCAAATTGTTGTGTTTTGTCAAACTCTTTCTTTACCCAATAGTTCGACTGCTTGACCGATAAGCAGAAGAAAGCTTTATTAGCATAGAAAAAGGAATCAAACGATAGACTGATCAATCACGACACTCAACAGTCACCAAAATCTCGTTTGAGATGTCTCTATATAGCGTTAACTATTTGTTGACTATATTTACAGGAATTTCTGTGGGACAATCATTTCATTTAAAGACTTATGGGATTACTCAAAAAGATAGAAAAACTGACTTGTTTTCCATGGAAACACGTACTTTTGACAAGCTCTGTGAAGTAACCAGAGAATTAAATTTGGGCTCACATAGTCTTCATCAAATTCCAGTCAAAAATCAATCATCTGAATAACTATTATTAACAAATTTGGCAGCAGATAAGTCGGACTCGGGAAACCCAGAGGATAGATTGAGTACTATTCCCATTGACTTTATGAAGTCACCGGAGGCGCGGTGGCCGAGTGGTTGTGATGATCATCGCAGAACGCATGGGGCCGACCCCACTCCGCTATTGTTCAACAGCCTCCAGAAGTCAATAACTAATGCCTCATAAAACGCCCCAGCAAGGTTCACCTCAACAATGCAAGCAGGTGCGCTCAACTAGTACTCCACGAAGTTCGAGAAGAAGATGAATATCGGTTGAATGCAAGAAGTAGTGGGATCCGCACAGTGAAAAAAAAACACTGTGAAGAAGAATCAGATGAAGTACTGACAAATTGTTAAGCCACCACACAAAAATGCAAAAACATGATATGCTTTGCATTGGCGAAGAAGTGATAGCAGAGCAGGAGTTCCGGTAGTGTGTTAGTTATCGGAGGTTCCAGTAAATGTGGGAGACGTCTTTAGTTCTTACCCAAGGTTCAAAAATTTGCGTTTTACTCGACATTCTTGACATTCAAAAGAATGAGATTTCTTTAAAACCCTAGACTCTTCATCACCACATAATTAAAGGATAAAATATAAGAAGACTTGAGCACTGATCATTCCCTGAGGAATGCGTATTGATTCAACTCCATCTAGCATTGTTTGACAAAAGTAGATTTACATTTGGTCCTCACAATGAATCAAGGTGGCCTACTGATGTATCAGATGAGCTTTGCAATCCTTTCAGATAAGTCCGGTGGCAAATACCCTACTCCGAAGGGATGAAAGGCTTGATGCGCCTTGAACACGTGACCAAATTATGGACCTCGTGTGCGTCGCGCCACTATGTCACACGTGCTATGTCACAGCAGGTAATATAAGCAAGCGTTGAGAAAACTATCTAATGAGTACAAAAATGCTAAGTATTATGTAAAGCTCGAACTCATAGACCGCCTAATATCAAATGATACGCAAAATTTCCAGAAGCCTGAGCTGAACCGCTTGTCCAACATTTTCCGGAGGCGTGAGCCAATCACTTTACTACTTCGGAGAAAGAAAAAATAATACAACCCCACTGAGGCGAAATAAGCACCCAAAAAAATGGTGAGTTCAGTGCCATTTGTAACGTTGTAATGTATTGAATTCGCTCCAAAGCGCCCCTGTTATCTCAGCAAATTTTAGTTTCAACTGTATCATCACCGGAGTAAAATCTCAAATTGAGCACTTCCGAAAAAGATCAACAATTACTTGATAGGTCACTGCAGCGCGAACAACACCCGCTAATAGATCATTGTCGCGTACGATTTATGTGCACTGCAAAGCTTGCAATATTTTTTCCAATTTTGCCTTCAGCATTGGCAAAAATTTTCCGAAAAGCTGCGATCGCAATAGAATCAAAGTGCGTTTCGCTCAACTCAAAAACATGTAAAACCAGAATATTTAGGCGGGAATGTTTTTACCGAACGAAAATATCGCCATAGACAGAAGCGAAATTTTCTGTACAAAGCGCACAGAGGGGAAATTTCAAGCGAAACTTTATTATGAATACAAGAACAACTGGTACTCAAAGGATTTCCAAGATTGTACGCCATTTCATCAAACGTCTAAATGGTCCATCAATGACGTTAGTGTGACCATGTTACGTAGTGATTCGTTGTGAGACTGCCTTACTATGTGTATAAACGGTAATGCTGGACTTTTTCTGGCAGGTCTGAGGATTAAGCAAATGCTAATATCGTTGGATGATAGATCATCACTCAGGAGACTTCAATATAAGCATTTAAAGTAAGAACAGCGCCTGCAAATTCTGCACATATTGCATATTTCACCAAAAAGATCGATTCTTTGTATGATGGAAATTATTTATAACAATTTTAAACATTTTCATCCTTTTTCATTTATTATTATTTACATATTTATTCATCCAATTCTCCTCTTAAGTCCTCTAATTGCTTGAGAAATGTCGATTTTGATACAGAGCTTGGCTTCTTGAATGGTCTTCATTGTACGTTACACTAATGATGAGAAAGACATATTCTGCTCTTAGAGTAGTTATCTAATGCTTGTTCATATACTACCGCGGAGTTAGTGGCACTTATGTTAGAGCTTTGATTTTGGGACCCTTTATAGCTGTCAAAAAATGGAAAATTGTTGGAGCAGCTCAATATAAGCGTATTTTCTGTAGAAACAACACCCATTTGCCTGAAAGTTCCACCATTTATTAGGAACTGCGTGGAGTGCAAATCATTTTCTGCAATGTACTCTAGATTTCTTGTCTTTTTCACTGGACAGAGTTTTCTTAACACACTACAAGAAATCATGCGACAGCATTAGAAATGGACACCTCAGAACTCGGCTTGGTTTCTGAACAGCTTTTGTAGTGGCTGTAATAACTGAAAAGAAGACTGCGTTTTGTCATTAGAGTAGATATTTGTTGCTCCGACTTCACAACGATCTATCGGTGCTCATAAACGAAGGTATTATTCTGAAAATCTCTTGCTGCGAAAGTTGAAAACAATGCTAAGTGGATCTTTTACAATTTTTTTCAGTAGAAAGCATTTGTTCGTGTCCTAAAAAGTTTGTCAGTGCGGTACCTACGTCACAGAAAAACAACGCAGTTCAACTCTCATTGCCCATTTCCGAAGATCTTGTAAAATAGTAGTTTGAAAACGCACCATATACAGCGTAGAGCTTTTAGGAGCAACTTATATGAAGAATTGATTCCTATTTGTTAGAAGGCAATAAATAAATACTCGACCTCATTTACTGGATAAGGTTTTTCTATAGAAGTGTTAGTAACCATGCCACAGCTGATATTCTTGGCTATAGCCGCACGTGGCCGGTATTCCAAACATCCTTTCATTAGCGCTGTAAAATTATAAGTGAAATCGTACTCACACAACAATACGTTTATTTTCTTATCTCGCTTATATTTCGCTGGACAAAACTCGTTTCTTAGAGTACTACTGTTTTTTCCGATGGCACTAGTCTAGAAATACTTAAAAATCTATTTGTTTTCGAAAAGACTCTTTTGATGGCGGTGTAGGAAAAATAACGATTTGTTTTTACAACTCGCCGGGCATAGCTCTTTTTTTACTATCGTTAATCATTCAACAGCGTAGGTTTTAATGATTGCAAGAGTGTGCTTCTTTTCTGGAAAAGACCGCTTTACGGCAGTGTAGCAGGAAAATAAGATTGGACTTCACGTACTCGACGTGCTTGCTTACCTGTCGATCAAAAGAGAGGGAGTGGGAGCCGATCGATCGGCACTGGTCATATATGTGGGGTGCAACTTGGTCCCAATCGGGATCTTTTTTCTCCTCTTTGAGGAAAACTCCATATCAAAACGATTGACTCAGGTACTATGAAATTTTCTGTACACATTCGTATGCTTTTTGTGCTCTCAATAA